GAGAGGGAGCTGACGCTCTGTTGATGGTTTCGCAGGACTATGCAGACTGGCAATCTCGAGGTCGTCGAGATCCATGAATTCGCGTGCAACAGCAGCGGCAGAACGGAAAACGCCCCTAGTTATAAGATAAGATAAGATCCCAACCAGTTTGGCTTCCGAAAAACCCGCGACATCGATATGGTAATTTCGAACGATGAAGCGGATGGATTTCATGTTGATATTCTGCAGGTTTGCAGGTTGTTTAAAAACCTGCCTGCAATAATCGTTCATATATACGGCTTTTCTATCATCCGCAGAATAGTCCATGGTTGCGTTAGCTAGTAGGTAAGATAAATATGTATTTCACACAGGTCGTGTTAGGTTAACAGGAGCGTTAGACGGTATGACCCTTTTGCTACCTTCACGGCATTGAGATAAACGTTGCCAGCCTCTTATTTGCCATGACGCAGGTGGCTCAGATCGAAGAGCCTAGGCAACAAGGCAGCATTGCATGGTAGGTACCAATAGATGTCTCTCCACCCCCGCACTCTGACAACCAAGAAAGACGGATTTTATCACATTGTTGTTGTATGAATGTTGCTAGAGACCTTCTGGCTTTAGCAAGTGAACTGTGTAACTCTCAAATTCAGGATGGCGCTGTATAACTATAAGCCCGATACCATTGATGCCGTCGAGTACTGCAGTTGCGTCGCCATGTTAAATGACTATCCATCGCGCTGCGGCATATGCGATCGATATTGCCCTRACGAAAAGGCCATCTATTTAGCACTCAGAGATATYGAGTTGATCCGCGACCTTGGCAAAAAATGGACGAAGAAAATTAAACCGTCTCCTGGTGCGCTTAGAAGAACCCTAGCGTCAATCCAGCATCGCTCCGATGTCGAGGCACTCGTCGATCAATATGGACTGGATACATTCCAGTCTGTAGTGACAAGACTGTTGAAGGACAAGTTATTCACCTCCGACTTTGTCGCGGAGCAACGATTTCCTGGTTTGAATGCTGTTATTGTTCACGCAGAAGCCATGAGCACGGAACCTGCTGAAATCACGTCAGAGAAATCGGACTGGGAACTCTTAGTGGCAGCAGAAGCGCCAGCGAAGACGTCAGAAGACGAGCCCGAAGAGGTCACAGCCAAATCCACAGAAGAGGATCCCGAAGAGGCCACAGCCAAGTATCCGGAAGAAGAGCCCGAAGAGGCTACAGCCAAACCCACAGAAGAAGATCCCGAAGAAGCCACAGCCGGGGGCCCAGAAGAAGAGTGCGTAGAAGATCAGCGATGGCCCGAAGAAGAACCCTTTACTACAGAAGCATACGAAGCTCTAGCAGAGATAAAACCTCCAGAAGGTACGTGGCTCGAATCCTTTACTCGATAACGATTCAATGTACTTATCGACCGTGCCTAGTAGAAGAAGCACGCGGGGATCGTGTACAAGGGGAGCGGAAAACGAAGTGGCTGCCCTACAGCAGCCAGCACGACTTGATTGTCTATCTGCAAAAGGTCCTTGAGACAGCATGTTTTACTTATGGACAGAAACAGCTGCCGACCCAGCTACACAAACGCGGCTGGGACTGTGTCGAGGCAGTAGCGCTTGATACTTGGATGAATGAGTTTCCTGCTATGACTCAGGCTCTTGACACAATGCACAGGAGGGAGCTGCTACAGTCAGGAATCGATATCCAAGACATGGCCGTTAAACGTAAGCGTATCGACTGGTCTAGGATGAAGAAGCTCTTAGACGATGCATTAGAGCTTACCGAGATCCTGAACGTCAAGGAGTATAGCGATATGGTTCAAAAGGTTCGAATAGACATCGGGGAGGTGGTGGAGGGTTTGAGCTGCAAAGAACAGGAAGCAGAAGATCAGCAGGAAGAGAAGCTGCAGCGGATTGCAGAGGAACGAAGAAAGCTAGCTAAGTGGGAAGTGGAGGTTCGAACGTATAAGAAAAACACGGTGAAGGATAACGAGAAGTGGGCTGAGTCGAAAGTCGAGGGAGTGCTGGAGGAGACGAGGAAAACATTAAAGACAGCAAGATATTCTCTTAAACTTGTAGAGTAGGGAAGGTCAGATTTTTTTGTTCTTTTATTAACCAAGTGGACTTGGATGGTAGAAGCAGTTAAAGTAGTGATGGAAAATGAAATAAAATGCTTAGCTGAAGCAATAGGGTAGTTGAGTCACCAGCACCTGGCACCTCCATAAAGGCGGCAGGCATCCCTAAGGAGTTTATAGTGATGATAGGATTAATACGAGGGTTTGGGGGTAGACGGTGCGCTGCAGATAGGGATGATCAGAAGTGCACGAAAGCAGAGTGGCTCCTCATAAATTTGTGGTGAACGATTTGTCCGCTTTGAACGACATACCAAGACTTTTAATAACAACGGCTCGAGGTTGCCCAAGAGAGCAAAAGCGGCGGGGAAAGTGATCAGTTGTGCAAATAGGGACAGGGTTGGCGGGATGGTGAATGTCTTTGTCAAATTCGAGCGCCGACCAGAAAATAACAATTAAAATCTGCCAAAAATCAACATTAGTGGACAAGCAAATAAAAAGTAGAGAGAAGCATAGTGCAAGACGTAATTAAATAACTAGCAAGTACCAAATCCATTTTAATCTTGATTCGCGCCTTCTATTTTATTT